CAGGTGATCCGCCTGCCTCGACCTCTCAAAATGCTGGGATTACAGGCATAAGCCATTGCGCCCAGCCCCCAACCTCTTTTTTAAAATTACTTAAAAACAACTAACAGAATAGAAAACAAATTCCCCAGTGTATGAGGAAAGATTGCCAAATAGGGAAGGTAATGGCAGAGGGAAGATACCTAAAAAGGATCCTACTTTTGCATCTTCAAATTACAGAAAAAGCCAGCAGGCAGCATACTCGTTATTGAGAACCCAGGAACAGTCGATGCACTGGCAGCAGGAACTTCTCTAGACCATTTGGCATCATGGAGGAAACAGGGCAAAGACATACAGTCACGTCATCCAGAAACTATGTGAGGCACAGTGGAAAGGAGACGCTGGTTGGGCTATAGAGTTCCTCATTGACTCCTGTCATTGTGCTAAAAGCTGTGTTGAAGCAGTGCGGAAGAGATGTATTAAATTGGGAATAGCCAATTTAATTATTTGATCAAAAGTGAAGTCTAAAAGAGCTCCCACTCACTGAACCTTACATGAACTGTATTAACTTTTACTATGAGACAAGCAGAATTTCTACTCTTTTCTGGTGCTGCCACAGCTTCTCCCTTATACAATAAATCAGCAAATCTATCTTCAATCAGACAAAGCCAGCTTATTACCCAGAACAATAGGAATAGTACATGCTTTGACAGTGGGAGCTTACAAAGAAAATTCAATCAAAAATGATAAATAATCAAAGAGAAGGGGCCAGGTACAGTGGCTCACACCTGTAATCCCAACAGTTTGGGAGGCTGAGGCGGGAGGATCACTTGAGTTCAGCAGTTCAAGACCAGCCTGGCCGACATGGTGAAACCCCATCTCTACTAAAAATAAAAAAAAATTGAGCTGGGTTTGGTGGCACATGCCTATAATCTCAGCTACTCAGGAGGCTGAGGCACGAGAATCACTTGAACCTGGGAGGCAGAGGTTGCAGTGAGCTGAGATCACTCCACTGCACTCCAACCTGGGTGATAGAGTGAGACTCTGTCTCAAAAAGTAGTAACAGTAATAGTAACAATAATCAAAGAAAAGCCAACTATGAATCTATACAAAGATACTATAAGGAAAAGAGAAATGTACAAGGAAAAACAAGTGTTAGAGAATATTCACCAAAAAAAAAAAAATGTAGCCATAGAGCACATAAAATTAGTGCTATTTCAAATTTAAAACCTTTAAAATAAGAAATTAAAGCAGAGATTTTAAGAGTTCAGGGAAGATAGGGTAAGATATCATAAGATCAAATGGGAGCTATCAGAGTTCAGGTAGGAAATTGAAAACAAAAAATAAGGCTATTGGAAATTATGGTGACAATATTAATAGAAACACCACAAAGAACACTGAATACTTCTGTAAGGACATCAAGGATGGAGGTAAGTGAGCAAAAGGAAGTGAAAAGGAACATATAATGTTTAAAATGTTAGAAAAATTATAGATGCAGAGGAAAAATATGTAGAGTTGCTGGAAAAAAATAAGAACAGAACAAATGGAACCTGGAAATAATTTTATAGCTTCATTTTGAGAATGCTTTCGTTAAGAGAGAGAGAGAGAAAGACATAGCTGGAGATGGAAAGGGAATGCCTTGTCTCAGGAAAAACTGTCACACAATTACTAACACCGAGATATACCTCATTTAATACACTGGGCTTCAATGATAATTCCTTTGGGCAGCTAGACAATAAGATCAAGGCCTCCAGTGTGGCAGGAGAAAAGGATCAGTGTGGTCCCAGACTCTCTTACGTCAACATTTAATATTGGCAGATAGTGTGGCAGTAGCTGGTAGTTACTAGGGCAAGTGGACACACCTAACTCCACCTCTTAGAAAGGCTAAAAATAAAAGAATGACAAAAACATAACAAGAAAATAGAAATCGAAACAAAGCAGATTGAATTCAGAATAAAATTCAAATAAAAATGATAATTCAAAATAAATTCAAATAAAAATAATTCAAAATAAATTCAAATAAAAATGATAATTCAAAATAAAAATGATAAAAGTAAATACATTTAATGTAAAAAATACTACTTTATCATATTATGGGTAAGATGATCAGTAAACTTATAAAAGTTGCCAAACTTACTATTTCATAATAAGAGAAATGAAAATTAGAACTGCAAAGAAATTTTATCACTTAGATTTGAAACAACCAAAACAACTAAAATGTTTCATAAAACACTCTTACAAATTGAGAGTGGAAGGATAATTTGTAAAATCTCTGTGGGTTAGTTGGAAAATTTCTATCCAGCTGTGAATTTCCATGCCTTTTGACCCAACAATTCTGCAAGTGTTGTCCTGTGGATTTACTTGCACATTTTGAATGACTTGTGTTCAAGGATTTTCATTGAGGCATCATTTCTAATAGCAAAATGCTATAAACAACAAAATTATTCACCAGTGGGGGCTGCTTGAATAAATGATGCTATATTCTCATCAATCTAAAAGACTATCAATGACAGATTAGATAAAGAAAATGTGGTATATATACACCATGTAATACCATGCAGCCGTAAAAAGAGAATGAAGTCATGTCTTTTGCAGGAACATGGCTGGAGTTGGAGCCTATTATCCTTAGCAAACTAACACAGGAACAGAAAACCAAATATCACATGTTCTGTCTTATAAGTGAGCCAAAAATAATGAGAACTCGTGGATACAAAGAAGGGAACAGCAGACAGGGGGGCTTCCCTGAGGGTGGAGGGTGGGAGGAGGGAAAGGACCAGAAAAGATAACTATTGGGTGCTGTGCTGAATACCTGGGTGGTGAAATAATCTGTACAACAAACCCCTGTGACATGAGTCTACCTATGTAACAAACCTTCACATGTATCCCTGAACCTAAAATAAAAGTTAAAAATAAATAATAATAATAATAAAATATATATATATATATAATTTAAAAAACAAAGATAGATAAATATCTTTGGAAAAATATATAATGAAATCCCAGCATTGCCTCTGGGGAGAAAAACTGGGTGGCTGAGGTAGATAGGTGAGAAGCTGACTTACTTTGAAACAAATAGTTTGAAATGCTCTCAATAAAAAGTTTCAAGAATTTCTTTTTTCTGAACTATTTCAGAGTAAGTCATCAATTTAATTACCAATGTTACTCCTATCACCCCCATAGACTTCTTGTGTGTTCTTCACAAACAAGACATTCTCCTACAAAACCACAATATTGCCCTCAAAATCGTGAAGTTAACCTTGATGTTCCTTCTAATCCTCAGATCCAGTTTAAATGTCATTGTCCCAGTAATGTCCTTTTTTATAACAATTCATTAATAAAATGATTCAGGCTAGATTCATGCATCACATTTAGTTGTCATGTCTCCTTCAAGCTAGAATGGTTTCTCAGTTGCCTTTGACTTTCATGATGATACTTTTGAAAATTATCGACCAATTATTTTTAAGAAAGTACCTCCATTTAAGTTTCTTGTTTCCTCGTGCTTAGATTCAGGTTATACACTCTGGCTGGAAACCACAGAAGTGACGATACTCTTCATTGTATCAGGTGGCACATGATTTCAGTTATGCCTATTACCGGTGATGTTAACTTTAACCACTTGATTAAGGTGGCGTTTGCCAGTCATTTCTACTATAAAGTTATACTTTTTCTTGTTAAATCATAAATATTTTGTAGTAAAGTACTATGAAAATATTCCATATCTCATTAAGCAATATATTTATTAACTTATTTATATGTATCAATGTGGACTTCTGGATTTTTATTTTATAGTACAGTAGGCTATGATTTATTATTATTATTACTTATTTTGATACTTAGGTTTTCCCCGATTTGGCCAATAGTCATGTCATTACTAATTTAATCAATACTTCTATGTGAGATCAATCTCCTGTCAAAGCCACTGTGCACACCTACCTTCTCAGCCCCTGAGAAGATACCCTTTTCCCCATTCAGGCTTTGACATTTTGTGCCAAGTGCTGCACTACATCTTCACCCCACCTGAGCTTCATCACCCATGCCAACCTGTCCTGTCATCCTCCTAGAGAGGTGTCCCCATCTGGGTCTCTAATACCCCATACCATGCCACCATTGTCGCCTACTATACAGAAGCCCTCCTTACCCCTTTTGGGCACTGACACCGTGCCACATGCCTACCTCAACTCATCCAGGCTCCAGGACCACCCGACCATACAGGTGCCTCACTTACCCCACTCATACCCTAACACCCTGTTCCAGCCATCATCACTACCTCATGACACCCATGCTGGCCACCCTGCTCACTCCACTTGGGCTGCAGCATCCTGCACTAGGGTTGCCAAGGCCCTCCCAACCCTATACATGGAGAGCCACTTTGCTCAGCCTCACCTATTGGCTTTCAGACTGAATAATTCTGGTAGGGACAGACAAGAAAGAAAAAGTAGAGAAACAGAAGACCAAGAACAAAAGGCTGCATTTTCTCTCTGCTTACCCTTCTGTTTAATTGTATGCTATGTGTGAATCATCTATTCAAGAAATAAAAACTATTTTTCAATAATTATAACTGTGAAACCTTAAAAACAAGGGACAGAGCAGTATGAATGAACTTTTTTTTGTTCCGAGCAAAGTACAGATGTAGGAGATAATATGTGCAGTTCACAAATAAGGAAATAGAAGCATAAGCATATTATTAGATTTTGGTGGTAGAAATTAGAACTAAAACCAGAAATTGCCATAAAAGGAGGGTTATCATGGAAGGTGGAGGGAATCATAGGAAGGGGTGGAGCAGACAGCTATTATTTTTCGGTGTAAACTCTTCTGAACTCTTTGACCTATTTCTGTAATTATAGTTCATTTGGTTAACTGTTTTCCTCTTTCTGGTTCTGCTTTTGCTTTTTCATTTTGAAGATTTTTCTTCACTTGAGATCAGATATTCACTTAAATCTTCATTATGTTGTTTATTTAAATCTTTGCTTCATCTTGAATTTATGTTGATATGTAATAATGATGATTATTGTATTAATTTACAGAAAGACAGCACACTGAATGCTGCTGAAGAAATCATCAAGGCATGGAGTGTCCAGAAGTCTTGATATGTGCAGAATGGATTGTTTCTATTAGAGGACCTGAGATGGAACTGTTACTTAGTGCTGCCACCTGCTGGATGTTATAAGGTATTTCAGTACAACTGGAATTGAACTATTTCCATTGTTTTTCCAAAGCAGTTAACCCAACTCCTAACAATATTCAGGAGATCTGACCTTTTTTTTTTTTCCAGTTGAAATGTATTAACACATCTTCCACTATCATTTTATAAGAGTCAGCATAACATAGTGGGTAAGAACTATGAGATGTTTAACCTCTCTGTATCTCAGTCCAATCAGTACAAAATAGGAATAAAAACAGCACCTGATTCATATGAAGGTCGTTTGTGAGGATTAAATGGACTAATGTATGCAAAGCCTGGCAAACAATAAACACTTATCTGACTTTAGCCAGTTTCATGCTTCCGCCACTGTGTAAGAACTCCTAACCAGTTCCGCGCCTCTACCACATGTATTTGTTTTGTGTACCCACCTTCCCCTTCATTCGCCAATGGCCTTGAACTCTGTTCACCGTTTTGCCTCATACCCCAAGTACTGCTGTTATTTGCAGTGGCTTCAAGGTCCACAAGGACTAGCCAGGCTTTCTATACTCTGACCTCCTCACCTCTGGTGGTGTTCACCTCCACTAGACTTCATCCACCCACTGCCTTGGTCACTCCCTGATGCTTTTATCATTCAAGTCTGCTTCACCTTTTGAGATCACAAATTCATCATCTCTCTTCTTCTAGTTTATGCTTGCTGTCTTGTGCACATGTTCTCCCTTTTTTTCTCTCTCTCTCTGTCCCTCTGTCTCCTCCCTCTCCTCAGCTCTTTTCAAATATCACTTCTTGGCCAGGCGCAGTGCCTCATGCCTGTAATCTCAGCACTTCGGGAGGCCAAGGCTGGTGGATCACTTTGTGAAGTCAGGAGTTTGAGACCAGGCTGGCCAACATGGTGAAACCCCATATCTACTAAAAATTAAAAAAAAAATAGCTGGCCATGGTGGTACATGCGGGTAATCCCAGCTATTTGGGAGGCTAAGGCAGGAGAATCGCTCAAACCTGGGAGACAGAGGTTGCAGTGAGCCAACATTAGGCCACTGTACTCCAGCCTGGGCAACAGAGTAAAACTCTTAAAAAAAAAAAATCACTTCTTTAAACTTATTACCATTTCAATCTGCTATTTCACAAAAAAATTGGTCTGTGACCTTCTTACTTTAGAATCTACTAGGATCCTTGTCAAAGACAGATTCTGGTCATCACCCCAGACCTAATGAATAATTTCAGGATCTAGCCCTCCAGGTGATACTTATACACATGAAAGTCTAATCATTACTGTTGTAGTTTGTAGAATCCTCCATCTTATTTTTATTGGTTCCCTTAAATCTTCACTCCCTCATCTAGTCTTGACTTCATTGTCTATCACTTCAGCCAAGATGCTTTTGTTGCCTTGAATTATTTCCACCATTGTTCTATCTCAGCTTGTCAAAAAAAAAAAGAACTCAACCCTGGGGTTGGAGCTCCATGCCTGCGCCTGGGCTGTACAGTTGGGCAGGCTCTAGCAACCAGAATTCACATCACTGACATAAACTAGACATAACTCGATGTTCCCCTACCTTTTACAACAGCAGCAAGTACTATCATTCTCCTATATATTTATTTTGTTTTGTTTTGAGATGGAGTCTCACTCTTGCCAAGGCTGGGGTACAGTGGTGCAATCTCAGCTCACTGCAAAATCCACTTCCCAGGTTCAAGCAACTCTCGTGCCTCAGCCATCCAAGTAGCTGGAATTACAAGTGTGTGCCACCACACCTGGCTGATTTTTGTATTTTTAGTAGAAACAGTTTTTACCATGTTGACCAGCCTGGTCTCAAACTCCTGACCTCAAGTGATCTGCCCGCCTTGGCCTCCCAAAGTGCTGGAATTACAGGCGTGAACCACCTCACCCAGCCAATTCTCCTATTTTTAATAACAAAAATACGTTACCTCTATTCTCACCTCAAAGCCCACCACCAGCAGCATGATTAAATCATACCAAATGCCTTCAACCCCACTTCTGTCAAAAATAAAATGAAAAAACAAGCTACCAAACCAGCACTTCCAACGAGGGTTGTACCACTAATCGTGTGACTTGTCTGCATCATCATCCTCCTTCTCTCCTGTTATAATGGTCATTCATCTTTGACCTGTCCAAGGCTGACAGGTGAGTGGTGGCAGTAGAATAAAGAGAACGGTTGGTTTAAAAATGACCAGGCCCAGCCATCTAGAAGGAAGCTCAGGGCCCAAAGAGCCAACAATAATGGTAGCAATAGAAACCCCATGGAACCTGTTTAGCCTGCCCACCCTTGCTAGGAACTTGACAAAATTACACCAGGGTTTAAAGCAGGTTTTTGCCTCCCTGAGCTTGTCTAAGGCTAATTCTACCACCTAGGCTCTGGATCTTGTTTCCTCGCACACTCAGAATTGGCTCAGTCTACGCTCTTGGACCTTCCGTCTCTGCTGGCTCCCTTCAGAAGTGGGACATGTTCAAATCTCTCCCATCTTAGAAATTATTTCACTGCTTGAGTCTATGTACTAACCTTCTATCTCTTCCCATTCAGGGCAAAATTCCTTCTATCTTGCCTTTCTCTCCTTCTCCTCCCTCCATTCCTTTTCTTCATTCCTATCTTTATTTCTTCCCTCTCTGCCTCCCTCCTTCCCCTGCTTTTTCCCTCCCTCCTCTCTTTTCCCCTCTTTTCCTCCTTCCTTTCACAAGTATCACTCAAACACCTACTATGTGCCAGGCACACTTGTAGGCACTTAGTATATGTCAGTGAACAAAAAATTAAAAATTCCTGTCCTCTAGGGCTTTTCATCTAGCCAGGGGAGGGAGATTAAGTCATAGTCATCATAAAATATATTGTATATAAATGTGTGCATAATTGTATGAAGAAAAGAAGTAGAGCAGGATAAAAGAGGATGACTGTTACAGAAGCAAATTGAAATTTAAAATAGTGTGGTCAGAAAAGGCCTCATGGAGGGGACATGGAAGCAGATTTAAAGAAGGGGAGGGAGACAGCCTTGTGCAGATCTTGGGGAGAACATCCCCGGCAGGAGGAATAGACAGTGCAGTGATTCTAAGACAGGAGGGTGCCTGGCATGTTTGATGAGTACTAAAAGTCTGGTATGACTGGATAGAATAACCCAACAGAGAAGTAGCATAGGACCTCAAGGACTATTATAAGGATGATGGCTTAATCCAAAGAATCAGGGCATTGTTCAATTTTTTTTTAATATGTAAAATGCCAGCTGGTGCCATGGCTCACACCTGTAATCCCAGCACTTTAGGATGCTGAGGCAGGAGGCCCATCTGAGGCCAGGAGTTCAGGACCAGCCTGGGCAACATAGTGAGACCTCATTTCCACACACACAAAAATTAAATTATCTAGTTACGTTGGTGTGCTCCTGTAGTCCCAAGTACTTGGGAGACTGAGGTGGTAGGATTGCTTGTACCCAGGAGGTGGTGGCTGCAGTGAGCTGTGATTACAGCACTGCACTCTAGCCTGGAAAACAAAGCAAGACCCTGTCTCAAAACAGTAATAGTAATAATGTCTGTTTCGGCTTGTATATAAATACTCAAAATGGGAAACAACAAAAATATCCATCAACAGTGTAATAATTAATTTAGGGAGTATATTCATACAGTGGAATATCATATAGCAATGAAAATTAAGGAAGCACAGCTACACACAATAACCTGAGTGAACTTCATCAACACTGTTGTCATAGAGTTTCTTCACAGCACCTTCAAATAATCAGCTAGAGCTCTCAGTAGACAGTATTCTGCAATACTAGAATTTAGTGCTGTGATCATTGAAGTTGTACATGTCAACCCCAACCTCAGGGCTTCTGGAATTTCTGTGTGCACCCTGGGGTAAGGGTTTCCACAGTTTGGTCCAACAGGCCTAAGACTAGCCCATGGGAAACTCCATGTCTGGGTGATTCAAGAGACAGAATCATTATCTTTTTCACTGAGCTGTGATGAGGAGACCTGAATTGGGGAGGAGGAAGGAATGGATTGTAAATATGAGGTCTGTGGGTTCATAGTGCAATACTGAATAAAGGAATTTTTTTCAGACATAAGAATTTTATTAAGGAAAGGCTCACAGACACACCCATAAATGAATGGGAGGTGGATGGGGAAAGCCATGAAGCTCAGCAAGGTTGTGATATCATGTGAAGTCCTGGCGTTGGCCTGACTGCCAGGGGAGGGACCTATGGAGCATAAATTATGCCTCAGAGTGTGTGCCTACTTGTGAAGGGAGCTGGGCTTTTGACTCCTAACCCTGTCAGTCAGTGGCCTCAGCCAAGGGGAGTGGGAGGTGGAGTGGCCACAGGCACATAAAACTCCCAGAGCCTGCTGGCTTTCTATATGGGCAGACTGGCTCCAACATCAGGTCACAGGTAACAGCTTTAACCACAAATCACTTAGTTAAGATTGAGCACAGAGTGATGGCAAGAGATCTAGGGGATCTGAATGGCTGCCAACAGTACTGCTCACAACCTGTACTTCCAGTACTGCCTGCTCACCACCAGGCACCAGCTGTGGGTCTTTCATTGCATGCTGCCATAAGAGAAAATTAATAATACCTTTTGAAAGTTCTGGGTTGGCTTTTCATCATCTACAGACATACTTCTTTCCTCCAGTGAGTAGAAGTGAGTGTCCCTCTGCAAGACTGAGCAGCCATCAAAGTTAAAGGTGACCTGGGACATTTGAAAACTATGGAGGGCAGGCCAGGCATGGTGGCTCACACCTGTAATCCCAGAACTTTGAGAGGCCAAGACAGGCAGATCACCTGAGGTCAGGAGTTCGAGACCAGCCTGGCCAACGTGGAGAAACCCCATCTCAACTAAAAACACACAAAAAATTAGCCCGGCATGTGGCATGCACCAGTAGTCCAGCTACTTGGGAGACTGAGGCAGGAGAGTCACTTGAACCTGGGAGGGGGAGGTTGCACTGAACCAAGATCACACCATTATGCTCCAGCCTGGACAAGAGCAAAACTTCGTCTCAAAAAAAAAAAAAAAAAAAAAATTGTCCAGGAGAGCCTTTTCTTTTCTTTTTTTTTTTTGTTTTTGTTTTTTGTTTGTTTGTTTGTTTGTTTTAGACAAAGTTTTGCTCTTGTTTTCCAGGCTGGAGCGTAATGGTGTGATCTTGGCTCAGTGCAACCTCCCCCTCCCGGGTTCAAGTGACTCTCCTGCCTCAGCCTCCCGGCACATGCCACCTTGCCCAGCTAATTTGTGTATTTTTAGTAGAGACGGGGTTTCACCATGTTGACCAGGATGATCTTGAACTCTTGACCTCAATGATCCACCCGCCTCAACCTCCCAAAATGCTGGGATTACAGGAGTGAGCCACGGGGCCTGGCCAC